AGTTGATTGCTGTTTGCTGTTTGCACATACTCTGAAGAGACTACTTTGAATTTAACATATGATGTCTCCTTATATTTTATCCATTTGGATCTGAGCAGGACTTTTCCATCACTTTCAGCTCTTTATTATCGTCAGCTGTGCCAGGAATCTAAACTTAAGGGAGGTGAGTTGGTCTATCACTTTGCAATCTTCCACCATGCCCAAGCAGAACAGGCAAAGAACCTGAACAGATTCAAACACAGAGGGCAAGGTCTAGAGGTGGAGAGATGAAGCACACTGGGACAAAGCCTCATAGCTACATGAAAGGTGGCAGAAAATCAGGGAACTGATGTAACAGGAAAACTGAAGTGACTGGCTAAGGAAACTGGAACTGGATGGGGAACAAAAGGCGTGACTGAGTTCAGAGGGAGAAAAGGTGGGGATTAACTTGGTTGGCGAATTAAAGGGGAGACTAAGAAGTGATAGTTGGTAAGTTAATAGGATGACTAAGAAGTGATAAGGAACCAGAATAGAGACAGAAAACTAGTGGGAATCACCAAGAAAAAGGTGGTGAGGAATGGGAGAAATCATCACATGGCATGAGGATGTGAGAGAAGTTGAATGCAGGGAGTGCAGGGGGGTGGACAAGATGGTGGCAGAGAAAGAAAAGACAGTCTGATGGTTAAAGCCACCAAAAAGTATGCGGGGTGGTGAAATCCTATCTATCCCTGCACTGGTAGGCAAGTAACTTTTACCATTAATATAACCTTTAATAAGACAGTAACTAATTGCGTATTCTATATTTCTGAGATTCACTTGCCATACTGGAGTCTCTATCCCAAGTTTTGTAGACTCAAAGCTCCAACAGATGACACCTTACTATGTTTTGAACTATTATAGTGCTGTATGAGGCTAACTGTTTTCAAAATTCAGGTCCCAGGCATCTTAAAATGAGATTTGTTTCCTATTGCTCACCTTTCTGTGACTGGCAGAATACCGCTAAAATGTTACAGAGTGCTAAAGGGAAAGAACATCTTCCATGCTATGCTTGTTTTCTGAGATAGCAACCGTAGTGTATGTCAGAGGTACTCATTTCTGAGTAACACAGATAACAGCTTGGAACACAAGGCTTCTGAGGAAACTCTTAACTTCTCCCTTGAGAATACAGGCCCAGACGTAACTATGTTTATAGTATTTAATAGCTTTTAAAGCCAGAGTGACCCATACAATTATCTTGCCTGACTTTCTGCACAACACAAGCCATAGAATTGTAGTGGGCTCCCAAAGTTTGGTTAAAATAGATACATTCATAACACATAGCTATGCATATGCTGATCCTCCCTGCATTTTCTAACACATCTTTTGTTCTCAATCACTCTCTTAATGTAGATAGAAATCCTGTGAGTGGGAACATGGGACTGTACAAAAAGACCTCAAAAGATAAAGACATTAGTCTCTACAACTTAAAAATAAACGCCAATGCCTGAAGGACAAATCCTATAGAAGCTTTTCAACATTAACTGTGAAATCCTAGAGACCTTGGCCAAGAGTCTTCACTGAATGAAATGATGGTTATCTTTTCAATGTTTGCAATTAAACCAATTACAATAATTTAACAACTAAGAGTTTGGAGACACTATTGTCTGCAGAAGAAGGAAACACTTCTTCTCTGTGAGGGTGACTAAGCACCGATACAGGTTGCCCAGAGAGGTTATGGAATCTCCATCCTTGGAAGATATGCAAAAGTAATCTGGATGTAGTCCCTCCTGGGCAACTGGCTCTAGGTGACCCTGCCTCAGCCGGGAGGTTGGACTAGATGACCTCCAGAGGTCCCTTACGTGACACCTCAGAGATGTAACCTTTCCCCACCTACTGCTGCAAGAACTGAGGTCAGCTGAAGTGCCTTCCTTTACACCTCTAGACTGAAATACTTTCCTGAAAAGCAAGTGAAGCAGTGCAAAGTGCTTGCTAATTTTCTCATGTAGTTATTATTTACATCTATGTTTATGTAGATGTATCATATCACTGCAAGTAAATTAGTGTTTGTATAATGTTTTGAAGATAAGGCATTTGCGTATTTGTGTGTTTGCGCATTTGCACAGATACTGTTTATCAAGAGAGTCTTGTTTTTCCTGGATGATAAAAGCAATTCACTGCCTTTTTTAAGGTTACTACTAAAAATCCAGCTCCCATGTACCTATTATTCATCTGAGTTGATTGTACTTTAGCTGCTTTATGGACTCTCTAAAATATGCACTAATAAAATCTTATTAGCTTTTTATTATCAACTGTCTCAACATACAAATATTGCAAGCTGCAGGGATTTTCTGGTCACTGCGAGCATGACTCTAGATTACTTAGCAATCAATGCATATGTTATACTGTCTCTGGCAGTTGATGTTTCTGAAAGGTAACAAATTTTTAGTATCATCCAGGCAATTTGCAAACATACTTCTGCCTTTAAGGGTGCTCCATTTATTTCAACACAATATAGGAATGTATTCAATCTGGGTAAGCTACTATGATTTACTAACACCTTCCTTTAACTGATGTTCCACAGCTGGCTGGGCAAAAATTCTATGTTAGAAACACGTCGGGTATTTAGGACCTTAATTTGCTATGAATTCTTTGAAGTCAATAGGTAGGATTTAAAAATCAATGGAAGAATATGGCTCAAAAGTACCGTTTCCGAAGCTACAATGGTACAAATATTATGAACAAGCACTCACTTATATGTAAGATCTGAACATTTGAAATAAAAGCCTAGAGATCTAGAAGTGTGAGATGACATTGAAATCAATGCATTTAAGTCCCTAAATAGCTCATCTGATTCATCTCACCAACAAGAATATATGATTATCTCTAGAATAGACAGGCATTTATAGTAGCAGTTCTTTTTGTGGTGGAGTACTTTGAAGTCTGCTATTTTAAAAGCGGTTATAGAAGGACATTAGTGAGAAAACAAAATAAATGTTTTAGTGAGGAATTACATGGTTGAGAAATCATACACGAGGGATACTCTTCCCAACAGATTTCACCGATTTTGCATGAGTACACTTTGGTTACATTAGAGGTGGTTTTGGTGGAACATACACACTAAGACTGAGGCAGCAGTTATTAAATTCATCTGGCAGAGTTAAAGGAAGTGTTAATCTCTATTTTTGGTCTCTTAATGGCACCTGACCCTATGTCATTTAAGACCATTGATGATGGCTCCACGGTGAGTCAGCACTCTAAAGAAAATATGTTACTAAATGAACTGTTAGAAGAGTGGTCTCTATTAGAAAATATAATTCAAATGTAGTGTGCACAGTACATCCCCAAATACTATCACAAAATAAACATACAACTCAAATGTGGCTATTCCAACCATTTAAGTATTACAATAATAAAAACTACGGAAACAAGGGGATGAACAAACATTGTAGTATCAGAAAAAATGTTACTCTTCAGAAGTCAAATTCTCTCTGCTTTAAACAGAATTGCCACCAGCATTAGCAAAACACTAATCATATAATCTTGCTTATCAGATGCCAAGTAAAGGTAGGAGATAATCATGTCTAAGTTCACGCAGTCTTGTTGACTGATGTTGAACATATTCCCACGTCAGCTGTAGCCATACAACTGCATAGCCCTGGCTCTGGTCAGGCTCGGAATGCTTTTGCTCATGTTATGATAACCACTTGCAAAGAAACGTAGCAACAACATAGCTGTATGTACCTAGTCCCGGGTCATTGCTAATAGAGGCCTATTTGCCAAGGACTTTTGGAAGCAGAAACCCAGATCTGTAAACAACTCTCAGTTCTTCCTATGTGGACATGCACTTTAAAAGATCTTTCACCAAATTGCGTGCTTTGAAGATTTCCAGAAGGCAATTTTTTTTACATTAATACAGATAACTTTTTTCCATTTTTATTGCGATGTGAAATGTTTCTGTAATGTTTCCATGGCAGACTGGGTAACATTACATTTAATGTTTCCATCAAATAAATTATATTTCAATTCTAAGCATCTATATAAAATTAATTTTTTAAGCTCTAACCCCAGAATCATCTGAGATTGTAAAACTCTAAACCCAATAGGGCTTAGCAATTTCAACTGTTCATATTATTAAGACCTGCAATTCTCAAGTGTGTATATTATCCCCTTAGAGGTTAGGACACTGAACCTCCTGATCCTTTCATTCACAGATTACTTCAGGCCAACAAGGTAATGGTGTGATTACAGCCTTTGTACAGGGCTTCCACCAGTGCAAAACAGATCTGAGTTTTAGCCCTGCAACAGGCTTCATCAGCTTGTGACTTCAGAGGTGAATTCCTGATTCTGCAGTAGGGAATGAATTTATGTTTTCCTTGTGTTTTTTGGACAACAAATCAGGTCCTACATGCCAGGCACTACTGACGGAATGAACCAGCCTGGAACAGTGGGTGATGTGGCTGAGTGGTGGAATCCCAAAAATGTTCCCAGAATTTTGAGGTCTTGTTTCCACTTACTGCTCTCTGGAAAATTTAGGGAGACCTTGAAGCGGGCTGTTTTGGTAACGTATAAGCTTGTAAGGCCTGTAGCCTTAAAAGGCTAGGCAGTTCTTTTATTTAACATAAAGAATCAAAGTACTTCTGTACAATTGTAACTACTGATTAGAACTTTTCAAATAATTTGCAATCATCACAAAAATTTTCTCTCCAAGAATTACTAGAGAAAACAACTTTTTCATACAGAAATCAAAGTTTATCCATATTCTCAGAATTGAGGTATTTATTGTTCCACAGGAGTAAAGATGTTGGATTGCACTGGTAAGGGTGTTTTGTGCATTTCCTGATTAACTCCGGTGCGGGGTACCCAAGGAAACGCCACATCCTTCACCTACTTACTCTGAAAGGAGTAAGGAAGAAGATGAGTTTGCTGAGGAAGTTAAGAAACACAAGGGTATACTTAAGTCACATTTTTCTGACAGAGTATGCATGGAAAGCTCACCTGGGTATACATCTGGGGTATCTCAGAATCAGGTCTTCAGCATATTGCAGGATGTGCTCGGTACTTTGCAAGATCGAGCTCTTAGTCATAAAAATACATTTTATATATAAAAATACAGCAGATGTCCTTCTAAAAATCATATCTTAAGTGTTATTCCCTCTCATTATGTTTTATACATTCAGAAGCAGACATTTGAGATATACTGTGAACAGTGCAAAAGACTGTTTTATTTTTATAAAAACACGCATTGCAGTACCTTTAAGAGCCAACTGAAAGAAAAGTTGAGAAAGGTTTCATCCTCAGAGAAATTCTGGTCCAAGTCGAACTTCTGTTTAGCGAGTTGTAAACAAACGTCTTAGAATGCAGAGAATCCTCTCATTTCTTTCCAGCTAAGGTAGTCTCAAACACATCAAGTCCTGCTTTGAAGTAAACCTGAGCTGAATTGATGCTGTTCAGCACCTCTGACAAGGCTGCTTGAATGGTCTCATTTGACTGATGTAGTTTGCAGTGCTCCAGTGCCTTTAGCAGTACTGAAAACTGGCTTGTCCTTTCATCTAGTTTGTAAAGAATATTTCTAAAAAAGAACAATGGAGAATGGTAAACTTTTTAGTCAAAACAATTCATCAGAAATCATCAAGAAACCCTGCCAATATCAGCTGCGCTTTACAGATTATACATATGCACAGTAAAGCTGACCCATGGCAAACTGAAAGACAACTGCATATTTATCATGGCTTTGTAAACTGCATCTGTTCACTGATCTAGGTGTACATACATTGAAGCATTCACAAAATCTGTCAAAGAAATCTCACGTTTCTCTTTGAACGTTCAAGATTTTATTCAAAATCATGAGCCTAGACCTAACCCACCCCTCAGGAAGTATTTAATGTCTCAGCTGGATTCCATTTATTCCCCGCTAAAAAACATTTGGTTATTAGTGTGGACCCTAGGCACGGAATTTTTTTTTTTTTTTTCCTATCTGCTCCTGTTATTTATTTCACACTTCAGAGGTGAAATTCTAGCTGCATTGAAGTCAACGGTAAAACTCTCATTGCCTTGCTCTCATTGCCTTCAGCAGAGCCTTTATTTCATCAATAATCCTTTGCAGCATCCGAACAAGAGCAACCCATCTTTAATGTCACATACTTGAGGAAGGGAATAAATGGAACGTACAGCTAAACCCTTATGAAACAAAATCTGTGTTTTCCTATAATATCTGCAAGACTTTTTAATGGCTGGTGTAAAACCACATGCAAAGGTAACGTCTGATCCCTTGCAAATGTTATCTGTATGAGGTTGTTGAAGGCTCAGAATTCAAAGCTAGTCAGTGATTTCAGTGAGACTCTTTGAAGCAGGCTATAAATGTTATCTAAAACCAGGTGTAATCATTATCCTAATTAGAAGAGCATGTAAATATCATAAAGCTCCACCCAGGAGCTCCTTTGATTGTAAACAGAAGTGAGCGAAATCTGAAACAGGAAATCTACGTGTGATTTGGTGCAGGATCTTATCCTTAAATAGAAGGCAGGTGTTCAGGGCAGGGGAGAAGTTGTTTCACAGAATGAAACCAGCAAGAAAGCAGGACAAGTGAGATACTCCGTTAGTAACCTAACTGCAGGACAGAACAGGCCCAATGGCAACTCCAAATTAGTAATGAAACTGCCAAGTATCTACAAGACAGATGACCACAAAAGTGCATCTTATTACTATACGAGTCATGTAATTGCCAGTCTACAAGGTGGAATGCTAACGAAGTAGCCCAATAAATGACACCACAGAACATATACAATCTTCTGCCATGCTTTCCAGGTTGCAACGTTTTTCAAAGATAGGAAATAACTCCTATCCTCATAACACAATTTTACAGTCTTTGTGTTTTTACCTTCCTATGTTGGGTAGACATCCAAAACCAGCACTGTGCAGTAGGAATGGTAAACTTTTTATCCCCTGGCAGCAATACATCTAGCCATTTCAAGTGTTCTGCAATGCAATATGTAATAGTTTTAAACAGGAGGGAAACGGTTCAAATCCAACACTGCAGGAGGATAGCTTACATAGTTTAAACAGTAGGTCATCGCTGACCTAGATCATTTAGACTGAAACAGTTTAGGAGCACTTGCAGGAACAGCTCATCAGGGCCAGAAACCTCCAACAAGAGGACAACAACAAGCAGATGTGGCAGTAACTTCTTCAGCTTGCACTGTGGCAGCCCGAGGAGGACATCTTCCTGCTTCCTCAGTTCTGAGCTGATGCTACTGTTCCTTGAGACTATGATGCAGCTTGCACTCGAAGGTGACTAAAGTTATGTTATGGACTGTCCCTAAAGCGTCTCTGTGATATAGTAAATGAAAACTGTGTATTTTGAAAACCAGATAAATTCTTGGTTGGTTGGTTGGTTTTAAGGATAGGCTGTGCTATGGGAAATACTGTAGTTTTCAAAGCAGGGATTGATTTTGCTCCCTCTGAAATCAGTTCAGGGAGTCCTGCTGAGATCAGTGCGAGCAGAACCAGGATTTTGAAGAAGTCTCCTCTATAGTTGCCACAGTTCACAGGGAGATAGAAGCCTGTTCACAACTCCTCAAAGCCCTTGAACGGCAGGGGCAAAGCTAGAGATAATCACATGACTTCCTACTCTCAGGAGGCATGTGACCGTCCTCTCTGGTTGCTGGTGGCTGGGAGAGTTTGACTGAGCTACAATTCTGCTCCAAATGCCTACAATACTGACATCTTGATCCGTATTAGGAACACTCTATACCTTTACTGGGGGTAATGTCAACTAAGTCAAATGTCGTAAGACAATAACCATCAGCAGAGCAACACTGACTTAGACTGCTAGAACTCAGACTCTAAAGAGAGGATGACCTGAAGACTGGAACATTTGGGGACTGCTGAGAAAATGTTTGTGGTGAATAGGAACAGATCTTCTCCTATCCCATCTTCAAATGTGCTCTGAATATGGCACACAGGCTAAAAAGATGGTTTACCTTGACATACAAGGATGTTAACACAGTTTTATTCTACTGCTGTGATTTTGGAATCACAGGTGATTCCACAGTAAATCCCGAGTCAGGTGATCCACTGTAAAAGACAAATATTCCTAGCGCATCCCACCTGACTACAGTACAAATCAGTGTCTAATGAGAAAAGCTTAGTTGGTTGATGAATGAGAGAGAGAAGCAGTCTGCTCTCACAATTTAAAAGAATATCTTAACTTTTGCAATAGTAATATGACTTTGGCATCGCTGATTGCATAGCATCACAGAACCTATTTTTTATTTTTAGGTATGCAGATAATAATAAGTAACATTATACGGCACCTGTTTTTTCATATTTTCTGCTAGAAATTCTCACCAGGGTCTTATATTTTCCAATTACTTATCTTTGCTTGGCAAGCCATGCCACCCCTTTGTTGCATAAAATGATTTCTCTCTTTATGCGTGTTCATGAAAGTCAATTTATACAATTTTACTTCTTATCTCTGTCCAAGCTTCATCAAATGAAAAAAATGGCTAGTCCAGTTTATTACTTCCAAGCCCTCACAAGTCAGAAAAGTGTTTTCAGTAAAGATTACACAGGGACTGAAAAAGAAAACGCAGCCATTTCTTTGGCACAAGATATCACTATGTGACCACAACATGGATAATGATACCAAGAGACTTTAATTTATACTGTGAAATTCAATTACTTAAACATTCCTTAATACAAATTGGTTTTGTAGCCTACACCTCTAAACCAACAATTCCAGCCTCTGGCCTAATTGGTTAAGTATCTACCTTCATCTTTAACTACTTTGATTTTATAAATATAATGCACACAATGAGCCTGACCCACACAAAACAGAAAGAGACTCCTAAACAGAAAAGTGCAATACATTATTGATGACACTCATGGAATTACAACACACATCATTCATCTTAATGCGCTTGTTTCAACGACACATCACAGGGACCTGAAAAGTGTAACGCTGAAGTAGGAAACCTAATTAGCAAGTTCAGGCAGTACCACTGAAAGAGGTAAAAAGGCTCCAAACAAATCAGCCTTAGTAAACTAAAGCAAAGAAACTATAAAAATGAATTCTAAGAGGACCTCTTATATAACTTTTACGAGCCTTTTGCAGGCCTAGGAACACAAGCATTATTGACTGAAATAATGCCGTTGGAGTTAAATGCTGTTTTACATTATCATAAATAAGGATGTAATGTCACCCCCACCAGACCAAAATGAATTTGACAAATTCTTGAATGACAGATCACACTAAAATACATTGACTTTAACACCACTTCAAACTATTTTGGAGATTATATGAGAAAAACTGGACAGTACAAGACAAAACTAGATTCCTACATTACTCTTGTAATAAAAAAGGATTTTTTTAGCTTACAAGACAAGTTTGTGTGTAGGTAATGTATAACACAAGCTGAATTATTCAGGTACTTGCAAATAGCCTCCTATCTAAGAGCTTACATTTGAGATTTTGAAAAGTAATTATTAAATCATTAGGACATGATGGCAAGTATGCAGTCCCACGTAAAATGAGTGCAGGTTTTCTCTGTGGTATCACATTAGAATTGTTTACAGATAAATGCTATGGGCAGCCCCTGTCTATTCCAGTTAGAACACAATGTGCTGTGACTAGAGGTGCTTCAGCATCCTCACAAATTCAATTTTATAAATCCCTGGATTATTTTTCTTATACTCTCCAAGAAAAAAAAGTGCACCAGAACAGGGATTCTCTGCATTTCCCTTTCTCTTGGTAATGTTCAGTTTTGAATGCACTTTTCTTACATCTAGGAGTTTGTTTTCATTCATGTTTGTAAAACTTAAAATGTTATTGACTTGGCAAACAAACAAATGCATTTTAATCACAGTATTTCCATGTTGGGACTTCCAGTTCCACAGAGTGTTTATTTATTGTAGGACATAAAAATATTACAAATTCTTCTTCCCTGGAAACTGCATGAGCTGATTTATACTAGTTTATTTACGCTAGTTTGCACCTCAGAAAAATTAATGGTGAAGGTACAGAAAGCTTCCCTTCTTCCTCTGGGTCCTTTTGATCTCCAGCAGTGCTTCTCCCCTTCCTCTCTTTTTATTTTCTAAACTTTTTTGACACCCACATACAGTTATTTTATCTTACCTATTATATTTCACAGCACCATTGTGGCAGAAGGTTTATAGTTATAAAATTAGAGCTGCTAGCCATGTAAGACTAACTTTTATCAGGACAAAATTTATGCACTGGTGAACTGTCATTACACATCATTATAGCTGATCCAGAGGAAAACGATTTCTACAAATTGCTGCTACAAATTTGTTGCTGGATCGAATGGTGGAAGTCCCTGGCTCTGGGGCCATGTGATCAAACATGCATGTGGCCAGGGAAGATGGGGATATGGCCACCAACATTTTAGGGCACCTTAGCTGTTAATGTCGCTCTATTCCTTCACTGTCCGAGGTCCCCACAAACTCAGCACGTCATATTTACAGATCCTTCATTTGTAATGTGTTGTTCCTAACTTTTGTTTGCTATACATCCTATCCTTTCTTAAGAGCCATCAACTGCTTTCACTTGGT